CTGCCAATGTCCTGGAGGGACAAAACCTCCCCAGTTTCTGCTGAGCTAACAGAACGGATAGGACAAGAGCAGAGGCCTTACACCACACGTGCTCAATCAGTCTGGCCTGTCTCTGGCACTGCAGCGACCTGCCATGAAAAGAGAAGCTCCAGGCAGCGGCTGTCTCTCTGGGCGGAGCCCAGCAGGAGCACCCACCGGCAGCCAGCCTGCATCAAGGCCGAGATAGCTTTGGTGCAGCCCAATCAGCAGAACCTTAGCCAACATACAGTACAGACTCAAGAGCACAGAAATCGATTTGTTATTTTAAGACACTGATTTTTAGGATAGCCTATTACGTAGCATTATTTTGGTACCTGTTGACAAATATAACTAGTAAGGGTTAGGTAAGCTAAGATTCAAAATCTATGCCTCTCTGGCTCAAAAACCCACTATTATCTTCACAATGTTGAGTTTTCTCAACTGGATTAATATCCCCACTCCGAAGATATGACTGGTACACAGCAGAGGATATTTTCAATAGGCTACTGATATTACCTTCTCATTCCCACATCAAGCCACTGATTCAAAAACATTGTGAAGGACATTATACAGTACTACCTCCTTTCTGGAACACTGACTCTCAGACTTTCTTCTCCTATCATCCAGAACTATACACAGCCAAGCCCCAAACAACAGCTCCAAATTAATACTTCTATAAAGAACTTGCTATGTGCAGATGCAAAAGGTTTTTTTTAAAGGTTTACCAATTTTTTTTGCCCTGGCCAGTTTGGCTCAGCAGTTAGAGCATCCACCCACAGACCAGGGAGTCCTGGGTTCGGTTCCCGCTAAGGGCACGTACCTCGGTTGCAGTTTGTCCCCAGCCCCGGTTAGGGTCGTGTGAGTAGCAACCACTCGATGTTTCTCTCTCCCCCCTACCCCCCTTCTCCTGCTCTATCTGAAGATAAATGCAAAAATGTCTTTGGGTGAGAATAAATAAATAAATAAATAAAAATAAAGGTTTACCAATTTTTGAAAGAGCGAGGCTTTCATACAGATAATCACAACAAATATTTATTGTCCATCTAACATTTACCAGATAGGTAAGTGGAAATATGAAAACAGACAAGATCGCCACCCTCACGAAGCTTACAGTCTGGTAATACTTAGCATAAAAGCATTTTCCAAGTGCTTTACATATAATAAACTCATTTAGAACTCACTTATAACTCTCCATACCCCTGTGAAAGAATAACCCTATTACTCTCTCCATTACAGAGATGAGGAAACTGAGGACCAGAAATAGTAAGTAATTTGACCAAAGTCAGAAAACCAACAGCAGAGCCAGCCAGGGGTCAGAGTTTGAGTTCACATTTTTTACCACTATTCTACAATGCCCTTTTGAAACTTTAATAATAATAAAAGCATTCTGAATCAATTGGAATAAATTCACTCACAAAGTCAAGCTTATATACAAATGGGGGCGGGGACATGATTAATGAAAAAAATAGCAAGAATATTGAAGAAAGAACATGTATTTTATTTTGGCCAATATCTAATTCATAATTTTGAAATAAATATGTTCCCATGCTGCCAAAATCTGACACACACTCCCTTATTTTATTTGTTTGATACTACTTAATTTTTTCAAAAGTGGGATAAAGTTCCTAATACGTACCACAAAACAGTACTACCCATTTGGTGTGTATTAATAACCTTAAAGAAGAAAAATTCAAAAACTACATGGAGATCCCAATTTTGCCAAACAAATTCTTTTTTTTTCAAAGAATAGTTTACTGACTGCTAGGGAGAAAGTAAGGGAGAAGAGAGAAACATCAATGTGCGAGCATGCCTCCTGCACGCCCCCTACCAGGAATCGAGACCACAGTCCTGCCTGGGAATCCAACCAGCAACCTTTCGGTGCATGAGATGACACCCAACTGAGTCACACTGGACAGGGTCAAACTTAAATTCTTTTAATAAATTTAAAATCAAGGTATTAATAAAGTTACTTGAGGACCAAAATGGTTTTATATTGATTTTTCTCCCACAAATTATATATAAATTTCTCATTTAAATAGCTTTGTTAAAATAGACATTTGGGGGTGCCAAGAATCATCTACAACTCATATATCCACCTATCTATCTGACATGCTCCCACCTGGATGTCTAACTTCAAACTCAGTACCTGTAAATCAGAAACGAACCCCCACACCTCCCTGACCTGTTCCTTCCTCAGTCTTTCCTAGCTCAGGAACTGGAAATTCCATAACTCCAGCTGATCCAAACCTTTGAGCTATTCACGACTTTCCCTCGCACCCCATTATCCAATTAGCAAATCCTATTTTGGCTTTAAGTTGACAATCTATGTAGGATACAAGCATTTCTAAGTCCTTTTGTTCAAGTTCCCTGGTTGGCCTTCTCTGTACCTTAGTCAGTCCCCTGGCTGCCACATCGCCCAATGGCCTTACTCCACACAGCAGCCAGAATGAATCCATTAACACCCAACTAAGCTCATGTCACTCCTTGACTCAAAACATCTGAATGGCTTCCCATTATACTCACTAGGATCTGAAACCCCTATTAGGGTCCACAGGGACCCACAGCCCCAACATGACTGGCCTTTCTGCTCACTCTCGAACCTCACATCTAACCACCCTTCCCAAGACTGCTTGCTACGAGCCACTGCACTTGTTCACTCTGCTGGAGTGTGCTTCCCCCAGATGATTTTTATGCCCTCCTCCTCCCCATCAGTATGTTCAGATCTCCCCATTCCCTTCATCTTATGAGACTTCTTGACTATAAACACAATGTCACCATGTATCTGCTTACCTTTACACTTTATTTTTCTCCATAGCACTGACTGCACCTAAGATAAATATTCGTTTGCTTATTGTCTGGCTCTGCCACTGCAATGTCTGCTTCACAGAAGCGGAGACACTGTTTAGTTCACACTCTACCTGCCTCCTGGAACAAAGTCCGGCAAAAGAACCACATGTCATCACCTGTCTAGCTGGCTTATTTTGATGATATAAAAGGAGAGCAGTGTTTCTCACATTTGCATGCATCAGAATCATCCACAGGGCTGGGAAGGCAGACTGCTGGGCTGCACCGCAGGTTTCTGACTCAACTAGTCTTGGGTGGGGCTTGAACATTCACAAGTTCCCAGTAGGTATGGATACCATAGTCCTGGGACCACATTTTAAGAACCACTGATCTGGACAATGTTATGTCCTTTATTTATTTTTTTAAAAGAAGAATGAGGACCAAGCAGATTAAGGTAATATGCTCTCAGAAGGTCTTAAAAGTATTCCATGTTAATGACTAAGGCTGAGTTTAAACAAGTAGATGAGAAGGCTGACATCCTTTAGGAGATACTGAAACACCAAACAACAGCAGACCTCAGTTGAGACTGCTGCCCAAATAACAATTTCCCATCTCTAAGAATCAACTCAATACCCAGGATAGGCCCATAGTGGTCATGCCCAGGTTATGTCAGATATCATCACGTCCCTAGTCATGGTAGACTGGTCCAAACCACATTCTCTCTCCTAAGAATCTGAAGTTAACATAAAGTCTAGGAGGCACTGATTCCAAATTATGTTAAAAGCAAGTCTTTTAAAAGAGAACGTCCAAACTCCTACTTAAGTGTTTAAAATCATTGCCAGTTCCTGAGCTGCCCTGATTCCCATCTGTAATCCTTTTTAATCACACCCAATTATCTTTGCCTATGTTATCAATAATTTTTATGTATCTACAACCAAAAATCCTTAGAAAAACAGTAAATGTATTAGATTCATAGGAAATTATATTGGAAAGGCAAATTGTGAAATATTAAACCTTTTTTCCATTATTCCAACTCAAGACATTTACTTCCCTTCTCTAGATTAGTATATTGTCATTATAATCATTCAATTTTAAGAGTACACATCACATTTTTTTCCTTACAACACCAACTCTTTCTTGTAATTGCTTTCAGAAAAGTCTTTTGAAACACAGCAAAAAGCCACCAAAATTTGCCTTTATTTACTCAATAGGTGATGGGTGTCTATTTTGTCCAATATCATGCACACCTGCAATATAGCAATTAATAACAAAAGATTCTTGATTTAAGTACCTTTAAATACCTTGCTGGGTAGAGAAAGAAAACTAAACAAGAAAAACAGCAAATAATAAAAGCTATTGCAGAGAAGTAAAGAAACAATGTGAAACAATGAGCAACCAGATTGCTTTTAGATAAAATGGTCAGGAGAGGCCTCTCTAAAGTGACAATTAAGCTAAAACTTAAATGACAAGCAGTAGCCAGCCAGTAGAGATCAGTGTACAGCTAACATGAAGGTCTTAGGCTGGGAACAGGCTCAACATGTTCGAAGAGCCAATGTAACTACACGGTGTATTGAGGAAGAGGAAAAGTCATTTACGATAAGGTAAAAAAGATAGAAAGGATCATATGAAGTAGGGCTTTATAACAAGGTAAAGAGTTTGGAGCTATTTATAAATTAACTGGTATAGAACAAGGAGGCTATTCAAAACAAAATGCTTATATAGAATAGCTGAGCAAGGGATTAAGAAGAACAAAAAATAAGTTATAAACAGTGGTTATCATAGAAATTTAAGAACTGAAAGGACCCTTATAGTTGTCACATGGTCCAAATTCTCCTTGTACTAAAAGGACATCGTATCCCAGACTGTAGTTTCTTAGAGGTCAGGTCAAAGATGAGCTAAGAGTCGTACTTAGTGTTCTCAAACATTCAGGCCAAAGCTCTTTACATAATTCTTGCATTGATCTGAAATCTGAAACTGTCTTTACCATGTGCAGTTCCAAAAGTGACATAGCAGCACTGAAATGAAAACATATTTAGAAATTGTTTAAGTTATCCACGCCAAATTATTCACAACTCTAGTCCTCTCATGAAATTCTTTTAAAACAGCTGACAAAACTTACGTGTTTAAAATCAAATAGATTGCTTCCCAAAGTATGTAAAGTAGAAACAACATGGAATGAAAGAGCAAGATCTGCTTACATCTGGGTACTCTTTCACAGGCACGTAGAGCTTCTCCTGTAGCTGGACGACCGGCCCCACGGCGTCGGGCAGCTCCGCGCTCCTCTTCTCCGCACTGCCGTTCAGCGTGTCGTTGTACATGTCCTTCCGCACTCTGCTGATCTCTGTGAAGAGTAAACATTTTAAATGGGTTAGATGAAAATATTCTTGCTAGTCCAGGAAAAGAAAGAAAAAAAAGAGGGTAGGGAGGATTTCATTGGCAAAGTGTTAAAACTCAAAGAACTGTTGACCTATTTCTACCATTCTCTGGACTGAGTCTGTTTAACAGGACTATAGCCTCGATTTATTTCTACAAGAAATCAAAGTTATACACCAAATAATATGCTTTATTAAAACTAACTTCAGAGCCCAAATTCTTATCCACTATGCTATAGATTCGTTATTTTATCTAATTTCTTCATCCATAAATGAGGCCAGTAATTCCAAAGGATAGCTTCCGTCAAATCACTATCCTAAAGAATGCCTATCAGACAAAACTTAATACCAAAGACTCGGCTCTCTTCTACTTCAGTTACATAGATTTTAAATTCAGAAGTCTTGAGTTTGATACTCAAATTCAGTGGTTAAAACTTCAGAAATAGAACAAATGTGTTAGACAGATTACAGGTAAAAGGAAGGACCGAATGAACCTCAAGAAAAGCAACATTTAAGGGGTGAGGAAAAGAAGATCAAAGGCAAGAAGAAATGGAAGTAGATAGGAGAAGTGGGGAAGAGGCGTCAAAGAAGCTAAGAAATGACAGATTCAGGGACACAGTAATCAATAGTGTCAAATACCACAAAGGTATGGTAAGGTAAAAAGCAAGGTAACTTGGATTTGACCACTAAGCCACTAATGATCATAGATGTTTTAGGGAAAAGATGGTAATGAACATTAAACTACATTAGGTTAATGAATGCAAATAAAAAACAATGCTGGTACCTAGCCAATGACCCAAAAACTATTATTACATCCCAGCTATACATATATTTCTATAAGTTGTAAGAATAATTTATAAGAAAGTATGAGAAATCTATTTTAATGAATCAAGTCCTGAATTCTTTCAAGAATTCTTTAAGTTGACACAGTGTGCTAGAGGACGGGCTCCTCACCACTGGAACATGGTAGTGAGTGAGAGTTGTCATTATTAAACTTGCTGGATGCCTCTGTAACCCATCTCCCCATGCTACAGATGACATTCTCCTTGAGGAAAAGGTTTATGTCCATTAGGATTTAAAAGTGAATTTTAGCCCAGCCGGTGTGAATCAATGGTTGAGTGTCGACCCATGTATCAAGAGGTCACCAGTTCCATTCCTGATCAGGGCACATGCCAAGGTTGTGGACCAAATCCTCAGTGGGGGGCATGCAGGAGGCGGCCAATGGATGTTCTTTCTCATTGTTGTTTCCTATCTCCCTTCCTCTCTCTCTTAACATCATTAAAGAAAAAAAATTGTTTTTAATAAATAAAAATTAATTTTATTTTTCAAATGTATTTTATATGCTTTCCAAACAAGGACTATCAATCTATTGTTATTAAGAAACTATCAAATATGAATGCACACTGTAATTTTCTTTAGTTACTTAAATCACTTTCAATGAAATAAAATCCAACACTGCAAAAAGGCATTAATTATCAAAGGTGTTCTTAGTTATAGTCTTAATCAGTGAAAATATTATACTCTCATACATTTTCTGCTTCAATGACGGTAATATTTATTTTATAACAAATTTTCTGTCTTAAAAAAAAATTTGCCCTGTCAGAGCTAACCAAATGTTTATTTCTAAAAGCAAATAAAATTTTTAAAAAATCAAAATAAGGTATCTTGGATTGAATTACATTATAAGGCCAAGACTGCAATTCTTTATTTTTTGTATTTCCAGTTTCATAATACAATCTCTCCTAAAGACGTCCAGTATCGAATTAGTGTTTTTCTTAAATTAGCATATATATGATAGTAATTCTCAAATCAAGTTTTCAACAATCAAGTAATAATTGAAACATAAGTGATTGCTTAAGTAATTACATCAGGTAATTAACCAGAGAATTAGAAATTTTAATCTAATTAAAATTGCGCGTATTCTATGTTCTTTAGTCCCAAGTATTTTCAGTATTAATTTATTACAATTAAATCCTCTTCAAACTTCCCAAATCTTGTTGTGAAGTTAATAAACACCAATATAGAAACCTAACAACAGCCCTGGCCGGTTTGGCTCAGCAGTTAGAGTGTCCACCTGCGGTCCAGAGAGACCCGGGTTCGGTTCCCACTGAGGGCACGTGCTTCAGTTGCAGTTTGTCCCCGGCCCTGTTTGTGTAGTGCGGGTGGCAACCATTCAATGTGTCCCTTTCACATCGATGTTTCTCTGTCTCTCTCCCTTCCCCTCTCTCTCAAAATTCAATAAAAACATATTTAAAAAATTAAAAAGATTAATGCAAAGTGGAATCTATACTATAAATGCAAAATTACTTTAATATTTAAAAATCTGTACGTAACCATAGTAAAATAATAGTTTGGGGGCGGGGGGATGGTTTTCCAGGTAAACAATTTTATCAAACTTAGAAAAACCAAGAGAATCAATTATAAATGAGAAAATTCAGATCCTTAGATTAAAAAACATCTAAACTTACAAAACCCAATAATCTTCATATGTCCAATTAGATAATATAATGGGAGACATATTTATAACAAGTTATATTTCTATAAACATCTGTGTGATTCTTTGATTAATAACTGGAAGTTCCATGAAAATCTGTTACCCTGTCTTCCCAGCTTCTGGAATCCTGCCTGGAACACAGTACGCTCTCAATACTCAGGGGACTGGGTAGATGGGTGGGTGAAGGAAGGGTGGAATGCGCTAGGCTCTAGCGCATCCAAGTTAAACGAGGCACGGTTCCAGCTCTCAGAGAACTTATCTACTGTGAAAGGCATAGAAACAAACAGACACCCTAAAGTATCTGAACAGTAAGGGTGTAGACGGTGGTAGCACAAAAGCAGTTTTCCACTACTGCAGGTATTAGTCAAGAAAGAAGTCAAGAGGGAAAAAAAATGATGACATTTTTCTAGTGATGAGGAATTATGTAAAGCAAAAGCACAAACAATATAATTATAAATTCTACTTTTTCTTAAGATAAAGTCTTTCTAACCTGTTTCTTTCAGTCTCTAAGATATATTACTCAATAACAGATCACAAATCATATACAAAACAGTGAATGTAGAAACAAAAAAAGACTTAAGACAGTTCTAGTTCTCAAGGAATGATACAATCTAATTCATTGTGGATCTAACCAGCTCAGAATGAGTACGACCCTTTATTAACAGCAACTTTCTAGCAAGGAAATCATTAACACTTCCTGGCATGTTATTTTTACAACACCCAAGTTAGAACAAGTTTGATTCCAGTTCTAACAGTAAATACTTGTGTGATTTTAGACAAGTTTCTTACTGAACCTTCATGTGCCTGTACCTCATATAATTACAGGTTGCTGACTGAGTGACTCAATGGAATCCACTGGTTTCCAAACCTCAATAAGCAAGGACTACATTTATTTTTCCCTCATGTTTTAAAAAGTTCTGTCCCCCAAATTTTTCATTCTAGAAATCCTGGTGATCAGAGCTTTGGTTAATGTTGATAAACAAGTTGATATAATCACAGCAAGAAAGCAGGCCATGGGAATGGGTAGTTCCATGCTTCAAAAGTAGCATGTTTCATATATTCTTTTGTTATATCAAACATAACATCATAATGCTCAAATGTCCTCTCATCTCTACACTCACTGCCTTCATCAAACTACAGCAGTGGTTCAGAGAATTGAAAGTTCAGAAACAGTTGTTTACTCACCTAGTATAAAAACTGTCATTTGTGACAACAGGGATGTACCTTGACAATATTATGCTAAGTGAAATAAGCCAAAAAAGGCTAAGAACCATATGATTTCACTCATATGTGGGATATAACACTGAAACTGGTGGACACAAACAGCAGTGTGGTGGCTGCCGGAGGGAAGTGGGTGGAAGGGGTGAGGGGGCCCTAATATATGGTGACATAGATTTTACTTTCTTTATGTGGTGGGCACACAGTGCAATATACAGATCTTGCCTCATAGAACTCTACACCCAAAACCTGTAGGATCCCATTAACCACTGTCACCCCAATAAATTTAATTACAAAAAAAACAAAACTTTACCAGCAGTAATAAATCAGAATTTTCCAAAGTTTAAAAATAAAAATTCCCACACTAACCCAAAAATATGCCCAAGATCAAGAAAATTTGTTTCAAACAACTCTGAAATTCTTAAATGCTACGAATTTATTTTACTGAACCAAAATCTTTCCTAAAATTTCTCACCCCCCGCCTCAACACTCCAAAGTTCATAAAATAGGTCAAATGCTTCTTTCATATGACACCCTGTCAACACTTGAAGAATTCTATAATATCTAAGTGTCCTCTTCTCTAACCTGCATAACAGCATGGTGTATGCCATCCCATTCATCTTAGACACATCCCATTTGTCTATGGCCCTTTTAATTTGGAAAATCCTACACCTTCCTGACAACCTGTAATGTATGCAGACTGAGGCTGCTACCTCCAATCCCAAACACCCGATCTCCCACAGTGTGTCTAAGAATACCTTTACTTCTTTGGTGAGCACAGTGCACTGCTGGCGTGTTGGCAGTGCCAAGTCAAGCCTCCACCATTAATACCGCCACAGCCTCATGTCTACTGAGACAATTAAATTTTTTTTCGTGGTTGTTTTCTACTAGACATATCCCTTCAGACTTACATTAACCCATCAGTTGACATTCTTTAGGGATGAGTATTCTATTACTCTAGGACCCACCTCACTGCAGTTTCATGGAGCACACACTTCTTCTCTAACCTGGACACTAAAATACAGAACATGAAATATCAAGCTAAACTAGGCCCAGAACCTACCTCTAGATCAATCAGTTTAAAAAGGAAACAACCTGTTTTAGAACCCACAGACTGTGCCATCAAATTCAGAATATAAATTTTTCAGTCTGGGGGAATAAATAGTCAGTCATCTTACCGCCGTTCAGGCTCCTCTCTCATTTTTCCGTGTTTTGTTGAACTGATACTCAGTTAACACATTTTTTCAAATCTAATGT